CTTCAAAGATTAACACACTGAAAACCAGCTTAGGATGAACGGCACACAAATTTTCAAAGCTGAGTGCCTTTATTCTGGTAGAGAATCTTAATCTATCACCAGTGGCCAGAAAAATTTGCACAGAAGGTGCAATTGATGATGAATTGAGTATAGTCTGTCGGAAATTCATTGAAAACGACTGCCCTCTTAAGTTCATTGAAGGAAATATTAACGGCGATTAGAACTTATACCCTCAGTACCCAAGAAGACTTGTTTATGAACACTGAACTTCTTTCTGTAGTAAAACTTCGAGAAAACCAACCGTCAAGATCACTGGGACAGAACATCTATCATGTACAGTACCGAATTGTTTACTGCATTCGATAGTACATTATAAAGTGTGTTAAGGATAAGCAACCACTCTGGAACAACTCAATCTTTATTCATCAGGTCATACTAGCTACACAAAGAGTGTTTTCTGTATAACGAATTTTTCAGCATTATTGTGTATAATAGTTCAAAGAAGGAATTTAAACTATCGATAGTCCTATTCTTGAACACTTTGTCACCTGTGACCATCTAGCTCCTCCTGGAAGTAGTCTCTATAGTTACCTAAAATATTTTAAAATCCGGTCCAATCAAATCACTGATCAGAAATCTACGTGAAGCAAAAGAATTACTAATTCATTATCTCAAGCAGATCCATAGATACCTATTAGGCTGATCGCATGTCCTGTGTGTTTTCTTATGGCCTATTAACAATCATGTGACCAAGTCATCAATCAGAACACTACTTATACAATCTTATCACTGTGCTAAACCAAAACACGCATTGACTGGTACAACCAACATAGAGTCCTTATTGGTTCTTCTCATTTAGCCCTCCCTGTTCAGTCCGGAATACCAATATCAGCTTCCACTGTAGAACAATGTATTGTAAACATACACAGTTTATATACAAGTAAAACAAAGCACATCATACCATAAAATAGAAAATGACAATTATACAGGATTAAGCCAAAAAGTGGTTGTGATTGTGAGAGGCTGTAAATAATAAATTGGGAATGGCTTAAGGATAGTAAGTTGTATAATAGTAGTCAATGAGTCAAATGGAAGCTTATAATAAAAGGAATATGAATATACATATAATATAGTTACTTAATAGTTGTGCAATAGGAATATATGTAATAATACTCCATAAATAGTTTCTAGTTGTTACTATTCATTTATTCCTAGTTAATACATAATATTATGGACTTAATATTAAATTTGATTGTGGTAACTCTACCGTCAATCTTGGTAAAGTCTGAGATATCAGTATCATACGTTTATAAATGATGAATCCAATACCGATGTTTTGATATTCGTTTACATCTGGACTAGAGTTGTAAGTGGTGAATTTATTTAGTCCTATGATTCATAAGATCATTTTGGTCCCCGTGATAATTGTTATGTGGCAAATATGTTTTAAGGTCCCCCTTCCAGACATATAGGCTAGCGAGGCCGGTTGGCTTAACTGGACACTCATTGATGGCATGACACAGCCACTGGGACTCAATAGTCGTTTAAGTCTTGAACTTACTTTACCTTGTTTACATTTTGGTGATTGATAACCTCTTGTGAACCGTATGGCAATGACTGACCATCCCTTTCCATGCTGGTAGCACTTTTGGACAATCTTTACATGGGTAGTTATGCATGTCAGGCTTCTCATTTCTTAGTTTCTTTCCTTTAGACATAGTTTGAATCAGATCGTTTCTGTCATATCCAGTTAGCCATCAGATGTATACTTTGTTTGCCACACCTGAATGTGTTTTATTAACCATCCTTCAGCCACGGAGAATTTCCAGCAGTCATTTATTAGGTATTAAAGACCAGTCGTCTCCGCTTCTTTAGGACCTTGGTCCTTTCGGTAATGACGGTGAATTTCTTTATTAGTGGCAAACAATCAACTACAGTTCTTATTGAAGCATTTGAAAATCAATTCTCTCTTTCCTGTTATCCTTAGTTTGTATGTATCAATGTATCTAATATTACTTTAATAGAATTATCTATCTAACCCATGGCGAGTCGCTCTTTGAGCTCCTCCATTACTATTTGCAGTTGCCTTGACCAGTCTTTCATGTGTGCTTGTTTTGAGTTCATTCTTGCTTTCTATCTTACTATACTTTCTCCTCTTAATTTTGCTATATACCACATATTGGATCTATTTTGTCTTATTTCCTCAGCTCGGTTTGATAATTTTATACTCCTTCTCAGCCCATCTATAATCATTTATTTTTCATTATTAATTCATAATATCCCATGTCTTGCAGTGCTTAGCACTGATTTCAGCTGTTTTACGTCTTTTTGCCGTAGTAGTACCGTTTTTAGCCCTTTAAATCAGTGCGTGTATTAGAACTGATTCTATTAACTTTGCTTTCGTTATTATGCCATTGTTATTTGATCTTAAGATTGGTCTTATTTAAATAATTCCATGTCTTGCTCTAATTACATTTTCTTGGATGGCCTCATTCGGTTAATATATTTTACATCAGTAGATAAATACGGTAAATAAAGAATTTCTAAATGATGGATGGTGGCTAGCAGTGAAATCTAGGACGTGCGTTTCGTCTTATTTGGGGCTCGTCAGCAGGATTCACCTGCATCTCAGAGTCGATGTTCACTCTGGGACTCGGACCCAGTACCTTTCACTTTCAATGCCATCGCATTATCCACTTAGCTATTGAGTCCTAGTAGCCACTTGATTGTCCGATTGGTTAAAGTTAAAATTTACTTGGTATTTTTTACTTGAATCTTCCAATTGATGCATGTGACTGCAATTGATCAGTCTCTTATTAGCATATGTGCATTCTTTTACACTATCCATATGTTCCATATGTTCTTAGACCTTATTGATATGTTAGCTATTATACTTTTCTTTTATTAAAATCAAAAGAGATAGGAATTAAATTGATTTGTTGATTTGTTTAAGTGTGAGATCAACCATCCTTCATTTCATTGCCCAATAAAAGTGCAGTATCTAGCAATTTCGAGAATTTTTCCGTTCATTTAATCCATGAGTATTACGTAATACAGAATAACTGTTACTGGGGATTTCATTTTTATCATTTAAAGCTATCTAGATATGTCTTCTGTGAACACGACTCTATAGTATATCTCAATTTTTTGGATAAAAAAGAAATAAATTGAAAGTTTGAGTTTGAATTGAAATCATCAGTAAAAATTATGTGTTTAAACTCAGTACTCACCCATTAAGTAAACGGAAAGTGCTCAAAAAAATGACTTGTTATACACGTATATTGAACATTGAAAACTGTTGCGCTACAAATTCATGGACACAAATCCGATCTCATTGTTTAGCCAATGTTCCTTTTAATTGGATTACTGGCTTGTTAACTAACATCTTATACTTGGATTGAACACAATAGGAACGTCCAGCTTCATAGAGGGACCTGAAGTTCTAGCGGGAGACCATGATCTTCCCTTATCTTACTTGTACTATTTGTACATAATTTGAATGCCATGAAGAATTTTCAAAATAAATTAGTTAACAAATTAATAAATTGGATCTGTTTACGTTGAATTCTATAAAATGTGTTGCCTTTTGTAATCAATATATACACATACTGTCGTAACATCTATCAGCTGACTATACACTGGATTATACAACATTTATAAATCTGATTTAGTGATATTTTGAAATGAATCTATATATGTTTTCATGAATTCATCTTACAATGGAATTTAAGATTCATTAACTTATATATATATATATGAAATTATCTTGTCATTACATATTTATTTAAAATTAGTAATTAGATTTTAATGTAATTCAGTTTACATATATTTGATTTTCATTTACTGGCTAATTGACAGTGTGATTTAGAAACACCATGTTCATTGGAGTCATTTCAAAAAGTCGATAATTTACATTTCTGTGAATCATGATAGGTAACCCCTTTCAATGTTTTCTTTTTCTTAATAGTTATTATTAGTTTCTGAAAGTTAACTTTTTTAATGATACAGATAGTTCTGAATACTTATCTTTCTAATAGATACTGTTATCTAATTTATGAACTTCTAATATTTTCACTTTAAATTATGTTTGATAATTTGTTTCAACTAAAAAATATTATAACAAAAAACGGATAGTGGTTAGCAGTAGGATCCATGACGCGCAGTTCGTCCTGTTTGGGACTCGTTAGTAGGATGTACCTGCATCTTAGAGTTGATGTTTACTCTGGTCATAAATAGCAGTCCTAAATAACAATGTAAAGATACAAATAAAACAACATCAAGCGAATTTAAACTTCACCCCATGGGAAAAGCAAGTGGCTATCAGGACTCAGTGGATAACGCGTTGGCGTTTGAAGCGAATGGTACTGGATTCGAGTCCCAGAGTGAACATTAACTCTGAGATGCAGGTACATCCAGCTGACGAGTCCCAACTAGGACGAAACGCGCGTCCTGGATTCCACTGCTAGCCACTATCTTTCACTG